TACATTAGAGGACTGCATTGGGATCCCACAGGTCAATTTTGCTTGAGGGAAGGAAGCAGGTAGTCAGGAAATAAACTGTGTCTCTGCCCTCACCAGAAGAACGGAGTTAATGGATGAATTTGAAAAAACATTTGGACAATTTCCTCTGTTGTTACCAACAAATATGGAAAAGATTTTGACTTATCGCCGTATCAGCTGTGCAAAAGTGTTTAAATACAACAGGCACAAATCTGCCATCTCTTGGTAGCAGTGACACTTGCTTTATTCTCGTGGGTTAAAGTAAAATCTCATTTAAAGATAAAAACACTTTTTCTGGCACATATTACAGTTCTATCAAGAAATGTGTGAAATTTTTACCTACTGCCCTCGAATAGCCAATTCTTAGGAATGTAACTGTAATTCCGCTACATTGACAGCTACTCCACAGTAACACATTAAAAATACACAGTCAAATAATGTGTTTTCCCTTTGGGGACCAGAGAAGACACAAAATCAATGGAGCTCTATATTGTGTGGGCGTGAATGGTCAGAAATTCAGCAGGAGTGGGATTAAGAATGCAGCCCCGCATGGGGCTCTAGCTTAGCCGTCCTGCTAATCAATAGTTGGCGGTAATAATGTGCCAATAAACCTGGTCATGTGCACAGGAAAACACAGAGGAAGAAGGAGACGATGTCACTGTGGTTTGATGGGAGATGTTCGGTGTAAACGTGGCGTTTGACTCTTTTCAGGAACCTCTACAGAGGAACTTTCATCCTGTGAAGGCTAAAATCTGTTACCGGGTTTGAAAGACATTTTAGCTTTTTTTTTTTAAAAAATCTGAAAATTTCACATAGAAAGAATCATCAGATTTCCAACAATCCTTGTGTTACTCATCTGTGGTGCTGGGAAAGTGATCTAAGTTGAAAACTGGGATTTTTCATTAAATTAATTTTATTCTTTACGTTTCATTCAAAAATTTGCCAAAATTAGAAGCTTGCACTAGATTCTGCGTTCCAACCCTGGAGCCGTTATTAATTCAGCTGTGACCAACAAGCACATGACAAAAATCCAGGGACTTCTCGGCTGAACTGCAGGATGTGTTCACTTACAGATAAGCAGTGACAGGAATGGAAACAGATAAAAAAGATTTAGTAAAATATTTACAGTATGTAGAGTCACTTGTGGGCACAAATGTTGTACATGTTGGTTCCAAGCTTTTTTTTATTTTTATTTTTTTGGGGAAATATTCCCATCATCTATGGCTCTATAACTTTGTTATTTCCATTTTGAGTTCTCTCTACTTCTAGTCATTCTCATGCTGTTTCCATAGAGGTGCAGGACTTTATACTGCAGTGAAAAAATGAGCCCGTAAAATGTGACAGGAGCAAACAAAAAACGCCCATAAACCACTTTCAGAGGGTTTCAACTACATACAGAACACAATTCAAACCATAAAACAGTATTGTTTTCACTCCAAGCACAATAAAGTAATGTTTTTTATTCTTACGATCCACTACACATAAATATAGGAAAGGGTGTGCGTGACAGATGTTGACTTAAAAGTGTGCAAATAGCAGCTGATGCTTATGAAACGGTGGGTAAATGTATTTTTTGCACGCAGGAGATTCCGTTTGTGTTTGTCACCCTGCAGCCCTGTGACACACAGATACATCGTCTGATAGCTGTGAAGAGATGCAGCCTGGTGATACTGTGTTTTGACATACAGCGGCAACAGACGCTGCACACTGATCAGGATTATTTCCACCAGCAGCACCGGTTAGCAACGAACCTTTTACAGCGAGCGTCAGATGGCTGGGAATCTAAATAGGTTCACCGCTGTGGCTGCACGCACCACAATGCGATGATTTTGTTGGCGCTACACAGTCCAGGAAACATTTCATACCATCAAAGAACGTGTGAGAATTCATCTTTACACACCTCGGAGTAATCTGCCGTTTCTCCACATGTGCGCGTCGCTTTATTCTCTCACCTTTCTCACACGTGTCTCCTCCGTAGCTGGGCAGGCAGAGGCAGAGGAATGAATCAATCTTGTCGATGCAAGTGCCTCCATTTTCGCAAGGCTCGGACTGGCAGTCATCAACATCTGCGGGGAGGAGGAAGCAGAGGGAGCAGACGGGTTGCAGATCTCATTAGGGTTCAAATTTAAAGAATGTGCTCTGATGAAGGGATGTTGTTCATACAGGAGGGAGGGGGGGAAAAAAAGCTGTGCGAGCGCTCGTTTCCATTCAAGTTCTGACACAAGATGAGCTGCTTATTAGTTCTGCTTTAAACACTGAAATGTGTCCTTGTTGGTGAGTACATTATCATAATTCAAACAGGGTGTGAGGAGAATACAGACAGCCTAATCCTCCTTACATTCCTTCTTTATCCACATCCCCTCACAGAGGAAGACACTCTAAAAGCCTTTGGAGTGTTATTACCTTCCTTTCTATGCGTTTACGGAGCTTATGGCTGACTTTATGTATGTCTAATCTGCTCTTTTTGTCTCTGCCCATTGTCTCAGTTTACAGACAACTGCATGACAAGGAAATAGCAGCCTACACATTGCATTGCTTTTCCTTTAATGCAGTTGAAAAACAGACATAAATTTAGTGGATGAGACTCGCCCTCCCTCCCCCCGCCCAGCTGAAAAGGCCTTCAGCAACAACTGAAACCTTTTCCCAGCTCCGGGGCTGCAGCTCTGCGGCTATCTTTGCTCTCTAACCCCTCCGTCCAAAAAAATAAAAAGGCAGGCAAAAGGAACATTTCTCCACAGGGATCAATAAAGTATCACTTTATCATTGCAAATGGAGGGCATGTAATCTTCTTTCAGCACTGTGGGGTTTTTTTTTTGGAACCCAGAATAATAGATCCACCGCAGGACTGCACAAATCTATTAAAACTCACAGCGAGAGTGCAAAAAGAAAGCTACTTACAAGTTCAAACTCACTTCAGAGTGTTTCCTCACATCTTAACGGTTACTTAGTTTCAAGCAAAAAAAAAAAAATCCCAACAGTGAGAAAGGTCAGTGGCTGTGAAGAGCTAAAAGTGTCAGACAGATCAAACTACAGTGACCTTTAGCCTTATCCAAGATTTTCACATTTCAGACTGTCATCGCCGGACACACTGAGTGCTGCCTGCAGAAGGATTCATTTTTAATCTGAGCCTAACTTGTGGTTGGTCAGCGAAGTATGTTGCAGGCTGCTAGTGTGAGACTAAGTCAGATTGTTTTTGAATGTTTTTTTTAAGATCCAATTTTCCTACTTTTGGTGTAGCTGCAGATTAAAAGAAAATGCGTCTAACTCCGGCAGCAGAGGTTGTTCATCTGTTTATGAAAGTGGAAGTGCTTTAAAGATGAATGAAAGAAGAAGAGGCTGCTTGTTGAGGACATATACAAAGACCAGATATTTATGTGCTTTCTTTGATGACTCATTCAACTCGTTAAAAGTTGTTTCAGTTGAACAATGTCTCTGCATGAGATCAAATATCAGTTTAACAGTATCCTTCACATTTCACATTTCTTAAAAATATCTGTCTTTGACAACCTGGTTCAGCAGTTTAACTCACATAAAGCCAATATGTGAAGGAAAAATGTCAGATTTTCAACTTTCTAACCTTCCTTGAACTCATCACGTGTGCTTTCATTTGGAAAATTAACCAAATGTAACCTTAAAATTGTAATATTTCAATAATACGCTTCATTATACATGTCTTATTTTTAAAAATTGCCAAAATACTGATTTTTTTTTTCACGAAACCAGATTTTTTTATATGTAAAAAATCGAACATCGGTACTTCTCAGTGCTACGAGGAAAGCAATTAGTGATTCAGCTGCGACCAACAGCATCGTGACAAAAATTCTGGGACTTCTCAGCTGAACTCAGGCTGTGTGCACCAAAAGGCCAGCAGGAGACGAGTAAGGAAACAAATTAAAAACCTAAGCAGTGAAATATCTACAGTATGTAGAGTCACCATTTTCCCCAAGCATCTGTGGGCATGTAGAAAAATGTTCAACATGTTGATTTAAAGTATTTTCAGTTTTGGTAAAATAGTCAAAGAAATTCAACTTTTGCTTTTTTTTATTTTTTAATGATTGAGAGCATTATAACTTTCACATACTGCATGAAGAAGTTTTATCTACTTCCAGCCATGGTTGTGCTGTTTCCAAAGAGGTGCAGGACTTTATATTACAGTGAAAAATGAACCTAAAGTGTGTAAAAATGTGACAGGAGCAAAAATAAATAAACTCCCATAAACTGCTTTGTGGCTTAAATCATATCTTGTATTTGCAGCTCAGGCTAATACATTATAAATGTTGTGAGGTGCTGCGTGAATCAAAATGTTTAGGAAAGAGAAAATACATCTGAGCTGTGTGTTTAGTCAAAAAGACTGGATTCCCTATAAAGTGTTTCATTCGGTTATCGGTGGAGAAACGAGCCCCCCAGGAACAAGTAGAGGCCCAACACCTCAGCCTCAGAAATACACGTTTAACGGTGATATTAATACAGATGAATAAAATATAGAAGGAGAAAGCCGGATAGTTATGAAACAGCTCCTTCCTAATTGCGAGCAGTGTGACCTTGAGCGACCTCAAGATGAGAAAGTCCACAGTTAAACACATACAGTTTAACACACACCACCAGCTCTGTTTCCCCATTAAAATCAGTCCGGCTCTTTGTTGTTCGCTATGAAAAAGTCTGATCCCATTGTCCCTCTCATCCATTATGCAGAGGGGGAAGTTGCTCTTCAGAGAGATAATACTGCAAATTCTGCAAATCCATAACAAAGCCTTCCAGCATACCCACGCATCAGCTGCTGCCTGTCAGTTTGATTGTCTGTCCGTCCATCCGTCTCTCTGCGACTCTGAACGCGCAAAACTTAGCAAGCGTCGGGCGTCCACAGCCCGAGCAGGACTCTGAATGCAGATAAATACGCTACTGTATGTGATTTATTTATTCATGAAGTGTTCGCTTCCTTGAGGAATGGCTGCCTAATGAGCTGAACAGGTGTTAACGAACAAATTAGGACCCTTAAGACAGATTTATACCTCAATGTCAAAGTGTCACGGTACCTTCGCAGAAGCGTCTCTGGTGTCTACTTTGGGATGTGGAGGGACACGCAGAGGTTCATGAGCTTTTTCAAAAAAAAAAGAAAATGTAGCTGGATGTGAAGTGGATGTGCCACCGCAATATAAATGTACAGAATCTAAAGATAATTCCTGGAAACATTGCAGATATTCTTTTGTACTTAAGTAAACACCCTCAAAAAAAGCAATCGATTCATTACATTGTTGTAATAGCAGCACAAGTGTGGTTAATGGCATTAATGGAGGTTGCGTCCATTTATATGTTCCAGTTCTGTGGCTCAGTTACTGCACATGTTGTGTTCAATGTCATGGCCACAGACAGATAGACGTAACCATCATGGCAACATCCACTGGTTCATGGACTATCGCTTTGGAGTTTTCAGTTTGGATTTGGCCTTCACTATCCTGCTGTTTTAAAACTGGAGGTGGTGAGCGAAGGATGGTAGTAGCTACGCCCTAAAGCAGGGGTGTCCAATCCTGGTCCTCGAGGGCCACAATCCTGCATGTTTTAGATGTTTCCCTTCTTCCAACGCACCTGATTCAAATGATCAGCTCATCATCAAGCTCTGCAGAAGCCTGAAAATGATCCTGATCATGTGAATCAGGTGTGTTGGAAGAAGGAAACATCTAAAACATGCAGGATTGTGGCCCTCGAGGACCAGGATTGGACACCCCTGCCCTAAAGCATACCCTGCTTTATCATCTATTTTACACTAAATTAAATCATAATATACAAAATTAGTCATCATGTTGTATTGAAGGAGACTCTAAACTAGTGGATGAGACCTTAAACTTATTAGGAAACTATTTACTAACGTAACAAATCTAGCGAGATATAGGATCATTTTCTCATAGCTTTCCACATAATCGTAATTTTTTTTGCAACCAGAGGGGTCGCCCTCTGTTGGCTGTCAATAAAAATGCAGTCAAGTAAGTCGTTTCTGCTTTGACTTCACGTGTTAGACTTGAAGGCTACTTCCATCTTTTATATACAGTCATGATTTTTTGAGAGCCTTGGCATCTGTGTTTTTCCTGCTTTGACAAGGATTGAATTTTGTCCCAAATAAATAATACTCATTTATTCATGACAATCTGAACTATGCAGTATATACCATCAGTACATATGCAATCCAATCCAACTTTCAAAGCGACTGCCCATTACTCTTAACAAAATCTTCTTTCTCAGAGTTAACACTAACCATTTTTTGGATTTTTTTCAGAGCTGTTTCGCAGCCACCCTCAATTTATTGTTTCAGCTGTGAGCAGCTCCTCATTTCCATTGTGCATTGCATTGTGGGACAACAGTGTCACTCAGCTGCACACTCGACAATGAGCTGCATTTAGCCTGCATGTCGGCTGTTTTAAATATAGTTCATTTCATCACTTTTGCCAACAGTGTGAACATACAACGCTCTTCAAAACCGGTGTTGAATTAATTCAGAGCATATTTTACCGCAATCCGTAGTTTTGGCCACATAACTGGCTGTAAATTTATTTTTATTACAAAAAACATCGTCTGTAGTCATTACAATGCAGTCACACCTCAAATAATGAGGAGTCCATAGTTGTTGGAGAACTGCTGAGCAGAGCTTTGCACCACCATTTAGGTTATGCAACCTGGAGCTGAAGCATATTGGTTTGTTGCTGCCTGACAGTACTTTAGCAATTAATTTTGTTTCTGCAAAATAAAATCCTACAAGTGAAAGCTCTCTTAGTTTGACCTTGAGGGAAACGCATCACCCAACTCTCACCCTCTGAACATAAACTTTTGACCTCGACCCCGCCTCGCACGGTGATGGACAGCTTGACCTCTGACCTGCAAACAGGCCGTTAAGTCATTACGTGGAGACTGACGCAGGGCTGACTTCATTATGTCTGTGTGTGTGTGTGTGTGTGTGTGTGTGTGTGTGTGTGTGGGATGTGCGAGTGTGCATGTGTGAGCGTCACCCACCAATCTCACAGTTCTCCCCAGTGTATCCTTGTGGGCAGTAGCAGCTGTAGCCCGTTCCCTGTGGAAGGCACTTTCCTCCGTGCAGACATGGGTTTGTCACGCAGGGCTCCACCTCATCTAAAAGAGTCAGACAGATGGGGGTAAGAGGCGGTGCATTCAGGGGGGGAAAAAAAAGGCAGTTAACTGGTGCCACTGTAAACGACAATGTTTTTTTGTGTTTTGGCAAGAATGAGACAGATATATCTAAGATGAAAATACTTATTTTCACAGTGATCCTCTAAAGTTGGATGGCTGAAACCTTAATTTCCTCCCCCACTGCTCATATTTTGGGTAAAAAAAAAAAACCCCAACACAAAATCAATGTGTGACTCAGTAAAACGTGCCGCTCTAATTTTCCATCAGCGCAGCTCAGCCAAAACCAGCGGTTTCAACACATGCATATCCATTTCACACTCCGTCTCTTTTCAAAGGGATCAGAAGCCAGAGAGCCTCAACCTCGCCATCCACTCACAGCCACAGTTGTCATGGTTACCATATGGAAAGCAAGCCTCGGCTCACTCCAGCGAGCGTAGTGGGCAGCGTGAGAACTTCAGACATTAGCCGTCCTCAACAGAAACGAGCAGACCTACCGGTGAGCGCCTCGGCCCGGCTATTCACTCCCTAAATGCGTGCGTGTGTGTGGTCTCCTTCCACAATTACAAATTTCCATATCAATTGACACGCCACCACGTGTTTCTCCCCTGAGCTGCTCATTATAGCAACTTAAGGTCTTTGAAAACCACCACTCGTTCGTGCTGGCCGCAAAAGCTGGGCTGTGGGAGTCTTTGTTCTGCCAGCTCTCTCTGTGACACCGAGGGCTGCTTAGGAGGGGGGTGCTGTGCGAGGTTGACACTCGTGCATGTCTGTGTGTGCGCAGGTTTGTGTGTTTGTGTTTACACGGTGCGATGAGCGAAAATCAATACCTCGGCTATGATTAGCCCCGAGGCTGAGCCTGTTCAATAACTAACCAGAAGCAGACATCTCAAGCTCACATCTTCTGAATTACCGTCAGGGCGAAATAAAGGTTCAGGGACAAAGGGAAGATTGAAGGTTTTCAATCAAAAGGACTCCAGTACTGAGCAAGATTTCTCAATAGCTGCAGGTCTATGATAAATTTTGCGATCTATACTCCCCTCTGCTCATGCTTTGAATTCTGCTGAAGTCAGGTGCTAAAACCAGCCATGCATTTCATTTAATGTACATCAGTCTGGGCCCAACGTGCACTTGCGCCCTCCGCATCAGTCAAGGTCATGGCACGGCTTGACAAATATCAACTGTTATGACAAGCAGATTTACTATAGCGCGTGTGTGCGTGTGTGTGTGTGAAAGATAAACCTTGTGCGATTGGCCGTTCATTAAAGCGAGTGGTGCAGAAAAATCAATAGTCTGTAGAAGGAGCTGACAGAGTGGACTGTCCCTCGCTCTGCACAGCGGCTGACACCACTGGTACAAACAACAATAAGCTGGCAACAGCAAAATCCAACTAATAAGTTTACAGAGATAGGACAGTTAGGGGATAATACTTTGCTGCGGCAACGCTGAGATACCTGTAAGTATTAATCCGCACGTCACACACAGCTTGGAGTAATCACAGACACAGAGAAAATATGGGTTATCTAGGAAATGTGATTTACGGATAAACACTGCCGGCCTAACAAGTCAGAGTTGGTATTTGTGAAGGCAGGAGAGCACAAAGAGGATGATGGAAACAAAGAAACTGGCTGCAATTTAAATGTTACAGAAGATTTTTAAAAAAAAATCTGTCTCACAAAGATCAGACAAAGCCCAGAAACTCATTGTGTGTTCATGCTTTGTTCTTGAAGGTCCTTGAATCCAACCTCAGGCTCTCATTTTCTCTTCTCTCTCATTGATTGAACTGACTGATGAAGTGCTCTGTGATCCAGTCAGGAGAGCAAATACTGACCACCACCATGAAACCACGGCCACGAGGGACTTAGCCGGAGCTGGGAGTGCACGCATGAGAAAGAGATGTAAGCTGACAGCCATTATTCTGTTCCAATCTCCTGCAAGTGCATCCATCCACCTCTACTGTTTGTGTAGCAAAGATATCAGTGCATGTTTGTGTGTTTATGGCCTTCTGCCTGCATGACTCCAGGGTCTCTCAGTCAATCAATCAACCCTCATACTGTGCACCAGCAGCCCAGATGGTTGCCCTCGGCTTCTTGTCGATACAGTTTACAGCTGTTTTCCATCCGCAGACTCCTCACACTCGGAGCAGGCGGCTCACCATGCCTGCCGCAGACATGAGCCGCTTTCAAAGGGAGGACGAATAAATCACCATAGAAATGTGTGATAGCATGATGCCCAAGGGGCTTCCGAGCACTCAGTGATAGGATGTTTCCTGTATGTGCTCTCATTATCAAGCAAGCAAAAAAAAAAAATAAGTAGGTGGCCAGCCAGGAGCTTCACACAGATGTACTGTGCTGCAGACTTAATCATCAGATTGTGAATGGTGGCGGGGATGTGGTGTCTGCTTATGGTGGGAGTAAAAGATATGTAGATGGGGGGGAAAACACACGGAATCTTTTGAATTCGTAAGCCAGTGGCAAGGTCACAGGAAAAGAAATGAAAAGGCATTCTTAAAAGATAATTACCTTTTCTTTTTTTTTTCACAACCAGGGCTTTATTTTCCTGGTTCCGTCTATCATTTCTACTGGCTGTGATAACAGCAAATGGAGCAATTCATGAGACCTTACTACAACAAATACAACACAAAGCACAACAACAGATGTCAGAGCGCCACTGTGCAATATCACCCAAATGTCAAATTGTTCTAAATTGCATCACCTCTCAACAACTGCGTTATATTTTTTTAAGCTGGCAAAGAGTATTTCCTTCTTTAAACAATCAAAAACAGATGCTTGAGAAGGATTATATTTGAAGTACAGGCTCCAAAGCAGAAATTCAACGCGACAAAAGCGAATGCACCTATGATCACTGACACAGAAGTTACAGAACCTGTCATTAGTGAAACAAAATTTAGGACACCTGTAATTTCCAATTAGCCTAATTGCATGAACATGGTTATAAAAGTAGCCGTGTGTCTATCTGCATGTCTGCATCCTGGAACAGCCTAAAAAAAGATAACTGGCAAATTAATTTTGAAAAATCTAATCGTGGGGCTTCCCAAAAATAGAAAAGGATACAGGGAGATTGGTGAACAGCTTAAAATCAGTGGAAACACAGCTGCAGCAGTAATCAGGGGATATAGAATGAGCCATATTACCACTAATGAGAGCCACTGTGGCTGTCCAGCTAAAATGACACCACAGACAGTGAGCTGTTTTCAAAATCCAGCTCTAAAAAATAAAAAAAAAAACAGACAAGCAAATGCGTCAGACTTGGCACAGGGGTTATCTGTACAAAAAAAAAAATCGAAGTTTCTGTGTCAGCTCAGACAGTGTGAAGGGCATTGCATAACATCTGCCTCTGTGAACAGTGTCCAAGATGGAAAAAAACGTTTGCTTTCTCTTCAGCACAAAATTTCCAGATTAAACTTTGCTAAAGAAAAGACGCCTGATGGAGCTCATTGTTTGGATAAATTTGGCTCAGATGGGGTCCGGCATGCTTGGTGTCAACCTGGTCAAGACTGCCACAGTAAACGCATAGTCCCGACAGTGAGGTGGGAGTGTGATGGCATGAGGTTGTATTAGTGCAAAATGTGTTTGGGTGATGATAGATTTATAAGATGGCAGCATGAGTGGCTGTGGATATGTCAAAGTGCTGTATGACAAAATCACTCCCAGTCTGCAGAAGCTTGGCAGACGAGGAATACTAACACCAGTCTACACACAATACCAAAATCACACAAGAGAGTCTGAAGAAGAAAAAAGTCAAAACTATGTCCAGGCTAAGTATGACACCTGATGGGAATCCAACAGAGCACCTTTTAAAAAGAAAGAGAGCAACACATCTCCTCCAGTGAGCAGCAGCTGGAGTTGGTGGAGGCCAAAGCCAGAGCTAAAAGAAAAAGGATCAGGTTGTCGGAAACACTACTCCAAATGAAAGGTAATGTTGCTCTGAAATATCTCAGTAAAACTGTGTTCTAACAAGTACTCCATCCGCTTAACAGGTGATGTGTCAGTGCTTCCAACTTGTTTCTTGCGGCCACAAGTCACTGCAGCTTTAAAGAACTTTAGATGTTGGCTTAGCCCCAGTTACTGCAACCAGCACTGCAACTCCCATTCCACACTCAACATCTATGAAGAAAACCAGATAATTTGCCAACATGCATAACAGAAAGTGGGCTTTTTGTCATCACATTTGCTTTCCAGTCCACACCCCTACAGCTCTTGCACCAAGCTGATGCGTAACAAACAAGTCCAACCCACTGAAGGCACAGAGATGGTGAGACAGCAGAAAGGAGACTCCCACAAAATGTTAAAGTAGCAGACGAGAAAATATTTTGGCCAGAATATCTGAAGCACTTTTGTTGGAGGGGAAAAAAAAGGACAAAGTCCATAATAATCACTCACAGAAGGCACAACCGCTTGCTGTGCTGAGTAATATAGGTCACAGATAAACGGACAGACGGGACAGGATGGAGCAGGAAGTTTGGGTAATCCTCTCAAGGCTCGCCTTTGTTTTCTCTTCTGAGTAAGATTCACTAACCAGGAGGTGTGTTTAAACTATTTCTGCTTGACTTCTTTGGATTTATTTCCCTTCATTTGAATTCTGATTCTAAATAATACTAATAATGATGAATTGTGGATGACTGACTCTAACAATGCTCAAAGGTGTGATGCTCACCTGCAGGGCTGAGCGTCGTGGTGCTGATGTTGACCCCTCCTCTGCTGCTTTCTTCCTCCATGTTGCCTGGTAAAAGGGCCCCTGATCCCACAGCGTGCGACCAAGTGGGCTCCTCCTCGTCTGGGGGTCCGGCTAGCGACGGAGGATAATCCAGAGAGTCGTTCACAACCGCCTTCTCCGCTGGGACCAAGCGAAGCAACGTCGAGGGGTCGAAGACGCTGTCCTGGTTGTCTGAGAGGAGAGACGGAGCCGAGACCCCGAGTCCAACGGTTTGCGATGTCGAATGGGAAGAAGAGGGCGATGACGGTGAGGGTGACAGGGACGGGGTTTGGGAATGGGATGGTGAGGAAGTGGTTGGAGACGGGGAGGAGGAAGAGGGAAGAGATGGGTCGATGGACTGGGATTCAGAAAGGGATGATTGGGAGAAGGACACGGATGGTGAGGCGGATGGAGATGAAGATGGTGTTTGAGATGAGTCTTGTGAGGCTTGTAGAGAGGAGTTTTCTTTTGTTGGTGAAGTGGATGAAGAAAAGTCGCTTTCTGTTCCAGTTACAGTCATGACCGAGGCCTCCAGAGGACTGGTGGTGGTGGTGGTAGTGGTAGTGGTGGTAGTGGTGGACTGCCCCTTCCTGTGACCCCTCTCTCTGGATCTTTCCCTGGATCTCTCCCTTGGTTTGCTTGTTCCAACTGGCCGGCGTGAGACTTGTATCTCCCCTTTCGCCTCTGCGCCAGTGATTTCCCCGCTCCCTTCTTCATCTGCTTTCCCCTTCTCCTCTCCTCTTCCCCTGTCTTCACCTCTGCTCCTGTCCTCCCCCCTGTTCTTCTTCCCCCTTCCTCTCCCTCTGCCGCTGGCTCTGGAGGTCACCGTCTCGTCCCTCTTGTCGCTCATCTGGGTCGTGGTCTCCGCTTCAACCCGGATCCAGGTTTCCCCGGCTGAAGAGGTGATTTCAGGCGCAGGGCTGGAGGAGGTGGACGTCTCTGAGCTTTCCCAGCTCTTGGTGCTCTCTGCAGTCATGGAGCTAGAGGAGGCAGTCAAAGTGGATGATGCCAGATGAGTGGGTGACTCTTCGCTGGCTGCTGTGGTGCTCTCCCTCGGGGTGCTGCTGAACCATGAACTCCCCCAAGAAAACAAACCTGTGCAGGTTGCAAAAACAAACAAAAAGAGAAAAACAGGGAAAGTCAGGAGTGCAATTATTGCAGACAGAGAGAAGGGTTCAAAAGACAAAGTGAAAAATCATCTTATGGATTCTCTCCACTTTGCCAAAGGCGGCAAAACAAACTCTTCTAAGCTGTCTGAGATTTCCGTCAGCTGTTTTTCTCTATTGCTGCAGCAGTACTGTCTACACGTCAATATTACCAACAGCAGCTGGCAAAGCTCTGCGGACACCGAGAAGAAAAACATATAAAGAAAAGGTCTTGATAGTGCTGAACATTTTCCTCTATAATATGTTAAACACCAAAGTCTGGGATAAATATAACCAGAGAGCAGTGTGTGTAGAGAGCGGACAAATAATGAAAAACGAATTACAGTCGTGAAGGCAGGTAGACAGGTGAGCGACATCACACTCTTAGTCTGAAAGAAGTGCAAGTGTGAGCTTTCAAAATATTACGGTGTTCATGTCATAACATAGTTTCTGATTTGTAAATGCCAACATA